TTTTTTTTTTTTTTTTTATTGAAGAAAATCTGTGACTATTTTGTCTTTGAATCTCAGAAGGCTTTTTAGAACTACAAGCTAACAAATAAACAGTTAACAGAGTGTCTGTATGTGATAGGAATTCAGTTCATTTTGATTTGGTTTCCAGTGTGACTTTCAAAACACATTTTTTTAAGCACATGTTAACTGTTTCCTGAGAAGAGTAAAGGTTAGTGTTTGTCCCATTTCTTTCACAGCAGTGTCTTTTCTATAACTTCTGTTGCATTAGGTTTGGTGCCCCGATAAATAAAAAATAGTGAAAATAATAATATAGCATCTACTTATTAAACAATATGAGAAATCAGTAAATACACATAAAGAGTCTACATTAATGTCTGGCACATGTAATAAATACTGCATAAATACTAGGTATCTAATGTGCCAAACATTTCGTTAAATGCTCCATTTGTATGATCTAACTTGATCTCATTTAATAGATATAGGAGGCTGACTGTACCACTTACAAGGAATGTGACATACAAGTTACTAAATCTCTTGTGCCTTTGTCTCATTGGTAAAATTGAAATATTAATAGTACCTCCATAGGGTTTTTGATGATTAAATCAGTTAATCTTTATAAACTTTTAGCATAACTTAAATAATAACTTAAACAAATATGTACCTGGCTAAATGCCAGGTGTTCTTAGTGCTGTTTTTTTGTTTCGTTAAGATTTTTGGAGGGGTTTTATCTTAATCTTTTGTTTGGGGCATATTCCTCTGTTTCCTTAGTTTGCTTGACTCTCTGTGTTTGTTTCTATGTATGAGGTGCAGTACCCCTCTCTCCCAGTCTTGAAAGAGTGGCCTTGTGTAAGAGATGAACGTTATCTTTCAACCTTACCCTAGCTCTTGGCTGTCTCTGAAACTTTTGTGAATGTCTGAGCAGCCTGATTTATTCTTGATAAGTCCCAGTTGTTGAGAGTGTGCCACGACTTGTCAGTGTTCTGAAAGATCTCACTCAGCCCTTAGTTTCAGTCTGATTAGAAGCCAGACCCTCAGGCAGCAGCTTTTAAAGTATGCATACATAGTCCTGGAGACTGTAAACCCTGTTGGCCTCCAGACCAGGTGACCTAAAGGTGTTCCCTGGGTGACAGTGGCAAAAATCAGGGCTTCAGATGAGTGTACACGCTCCTTTCTGGGAGGTTCTGGGGAACTGTAGTGAGGCTTAAGGAGAGTGTGAAGATGGTGTCCGCTGGCCTACTTTCCTTGAAAGCACCTCCGTAGCCTCTGGTTGTGTGGCCAACGTGAATGCTGCCCCTCAGGCTGAACCTCTGGGACAAGTAAATAGGCTTGTTTCACAGAAAGACTAGGATATGTTTCAGACTGTTGTCTGCGTGGTGCCCTGGAGGTAGCCTGTCCAGAACTGTCTTTCCAATTGTTATAGCCCAACGGACCCAGCAACATGGAAGCAGGTGATCGATCAAGGAGTGTTCCCTGTGTAGACTGCATGTGCCTGCCGGCTTTAGCAAGGCCACGGGAGAGTGCATGGCTGATGTGTACACATCAGCTTTTTACAGGGCCATAGGAAAGCACGATGCTGGGTCACCCTGCTGGTGCTATCAAGGCAGAGAGAGAGCACAAAAATGGCCTTGTGCCTCTGTTCTTGGAGAGAGTTCCCACAGACTCCTGCCCCTCTGGTAGACACTTTAAGATTAGCCAGCGAATCTTCTTCACTACAGTCTAGGCAATTTCTGTTTCTGTGCCAATTTCCAGAGCTACTGAATCTGCATGTGAGCCCATAAGAGAAGTATCTCAGTTTCTACAGCCCTTCAGGGTCTCCTGGATATGAGCCCTGTTGTTTTTCAGAGCCCGATGTTTTTGGGGTTTGTCTCACTGTTACACTTCCCAAGGATTGGGGTACCTAATGTGGGGCACAAACCCTTCAGTTCTCAGGGAGAAACTCTGGATTTGTGAGAGTCCTCCTGATTGTGGGTCCCCATGCTAGGGGTCGGGTTTTGATGAGACTGTCCTGTCTCTCCTCCCCATCTTAATGTGGCCCTTTTACCATTTGTTGTGAAGGAACTATTCAGTTAGTTTTCAGATCTTTTTCAGAGGGAATTGTTCCATATGTAGCTGTAGATTTGGTGTGTCCGTGGGAAGTGAGTTCAGGATCTTCCTGTGCTGCC